TTTTTTTTTTTTTTTGCTTTAGTTTAATTAAGGCGAAACTTTTCCGTACTTAATACTATGATAATAAGTATAATTATAATGTTATTCTAAGCCCTAACGTTAGACCGTTTTAAAAACCTTGATATACTTTTAATATGTTGTTCTACAAAATGTCTACCAAAGTATATTTACATCTGCCTTTTGTTTACATCCATTGAAATGAAGCGCGCGTGCATGCACATTTAGATAGTAAGGTGCGTGCGCATCATCAGATCAGACAAAAGCTAAGTATTGTTATAATAGATAAGTCACCTTGTCAACTAAATAGTCAAGTTCCTCCTTTCAAACACGCTGAAATTGTTGGAAGCGGACTTGGCCAAATGGTTAATGAGCCCGGACTGTGATTCTATGGTTCGTGTCCCATTACTGCCAAAAAAAAACAAACTCGTTCCACCTTCTAGAGCTGTGTGTGCGCTATACTATTAACAGTAAAGTATTGTTTTCAAAAGAAATCCTTACAGAATTATAAAAGCTTTATTTTCAAATGCTTGTCAATTCACTTAAACTCTTATAAGTTATATTTTATTTCATTACCAAGTGTTATGATAATTTGACCTACGCAAAAGCTCTTCAGAACTATAAGTTTCACTACTCAGAGTAATATATCATTACTAGGAAAATAATTACCTGAATTCAAATTCTTCTTTTTCTCCTGTTAAAGAGAAATTCGGGGGAGGAAGAGGGTCGTAATTGAAACTCGTATCCGAAAATGCTCGCCCTTTCAGGTGTGGGGGGCAATTTAATGCAACAGTCAGTAACATTATTGGTTGCTAACTAATAACCCAAGAGTTGGCGGTGGGTGATGTTAACTAGTTGCCTTCTTTCTAAATTATCGCTACTAAATTACGGACGGCCAGCGCTGATAGACTTGGAGTAGTTTTTGCGCGAAATTCGGCAAAGCAAATTTATGGTGCTGATTCGATCCAAAGATTGGTAATAATAATGTCTCTCTCCAAAATTTCCTACTGTTGTTCTCCAGTTAATATCCACATACGTTTTAAATCTTAATCACTCACTAATACTGTCCGCCTACATCCTTCTTTGGTCTTCTCTCGCCTTCTTTCAATAGATATTGTCCTCAACTATACTGGATAACGTGTTACCGCTTAGATACAAACTATATATTTACTATTTTCTGGCCAAATAACTAAAATGTCATTGTAATACAAACTTTGCAATATTTTTTATGTCGGCAGTTTACAAACTAACTTACTCCAATATTTCAACATTTCTTAATTTCATTTATTTCCCCTTACTAGCTAGTTTTGCTTAAGTTCTTATTTTAATTTTTCTGCTAGAGCTAAGACAGTTTTCTGAATCAACAGTCGAATTCTTCCTCTGGATGGGCTTTTTGGTACAAGATGGGTTTTGACGAGCACGTGCTTTACTCGCAAAGGAGAAGGAAGCCATCCCTGACTGTTTAGTTCGGCATCTTTACTGGCCACGTGTCTTGCGCGCGCGAGAAACATAACTTGACAAGAACACTGAGGTCTGTTTCTGGGGGCGGAGCTTGTTACTCACAACGCCTTCCTTTTTTAACGTCCATAGCTCCTTCGCTGGCGTCACATTCCACCACTCGTTCTCTGTCCGACGTACTGCTCGTTCATTATATTACTCTCTCTCCAAGACTATAGTACAGGAACCTCAAGTTCATCATTGAAAGATATTTCGTCAGTAAAGAAAGTATTGGAGTAATTATACATTTATCTATCCGTATATTTGATTATAATTACAATTTTCCCAGCGAGTGGGCCATGTCGTATTTGACACTCGTTACTGGTAGTCCTCAAAAATTGGAACCTACCACATGTATTTTTGTCTCTAACGCCCCAGTGTCCAGTGTTAGTTTCCAGACAACACAAACCACTTGCACAGCTCCATCAAATGGAAAGTTATCAATAAAGCGTACCAAGCCCGAGCTAACAACTGGCGAACTTCTACGATGCAAGCGGCGAATCAGCTTCACCCAGCTCGGCTACACACTGCCCTCACCGCAGCCTGCTACCGTGGCACGAAGGAATGAAAGAGAACGTAACAGAGTCAGAATGGTCAACATGGGCTTTGCAACACTACGTCAACACGTTCCTAATGGTACCAAAAATAAGAAGATGAGCAAAGTAGAGACACTACGGTCAGCGGTGGAATACATTAAATGTCTTCAACAACTCTTAAGTAATCAGGAAGACCACATGTCATCAGAAGGTAGCCAATCAACCATTCTTGGCAGTTTGGGTGAGAACCAGTATCTAAAGGCTGTAAAGGACAGATGTCCGGCCGTGTCCCCACAGAGTCTGTCTCCTACCTGCTCTACAACCAATTCCCCAAGTCCTAGTACAGGATCCGAATTTTCTCCGAACCACCAGGGTTTGGAATCTCCATCTACTTGTCTAAGTCCAGAAGAGGAAGAACTCCTCGCATTCGCAAGCTGGTTCTCTTAACCGGTAAGAACCATTAAATAAATTATATCGCGTGCATTGTACATTAGTCATTTCTGATTGATTAATGCTAAAGCTAAGAGACTAACACAGTGATATAGAGAAACTTACTTCATATCAAACATTTGATCGCATACCTTATTAACCTTTCTCTTTTTCACAATTTAGCAATAGAAAGCAGATATTTTTTTGTGTGTAAACCTGTCGGTGTTTAACATGTAATTTAATGTTTTTGATAATTTGTTTCTCAGTTAGCATTTAATTATTTCACTTCTGTACATTGAAATGAATGTTTTCGAATGAAAGTCTTAATCTACACCTCATGTTTTTATTTTTTCTTTACAACATGTTTTTCGTTTGTTTTGCGATTTTAATTGTATAACTCATGATTTATTTTTTGAAGCTCCATGGTTTTGTATAAGAAAAAGGATAAAAATATATGAAAATGTTTTTTTTCTTCTTCTCATACGTTTTGGTAAGTAACTGCATGTTTTATTAACTATGTAGCGGATTTTAAAGTGTTACTTTTCTTTCATCGCATTTTTTTTTTCTCCACCCAAAGGTTTAGAAACAAAAAGCCCCTTACAACTTTCATTACAACAGTGATTTGTGTCGTCAAAATCCAGCCTCGAATCATGAGATTCAAAACGGTTGCCGGTCGTGATGTTTCACTTCTTTACTGGCTTGCATCATCATTATGGACGAACGTGATTATACTTTAACGAAAGTTACACTTGTCACATATATAGTAAGAGCTGTTAGCTGAAGCCATTGCATGACTTTTTTGTTTTTTATTACTACAAGTCGCAGCAAACGAAAAGCGGGCGTTTTGTGACAATTTTACAATTTTTCCTAATAATGACGTATTCATAATAGACCTACTTTGGACAATTGACTGTTTCCTACTACGTTATTGAGTATGTGTAGAATTACTAGAAAAAAGAAAACAAATAGGAAAGTTACGCCTCCGTACGAGATGAGATGTAATTTAAAGCTTGAAAAGGTTCACTATAAGATGAAGAGGACTTTACCATGTTGGAAAAGACGCCCCCTGAGGACCTGTTTCCTGTATTCTCACCGGAAGAGCAGCCAAAACCTTTTGTATGAGATCTGCGAGGAGAAAAACAGTGTTTGTTAACTTACGGATTTCCTGCAGACATTTTCAATGAGAACCAAGTTCAGAGGGACCTCATTGTTTACATGTATTTTTCCTCGTAAGTTCTTTCAATGATCTTTACCTTCGTAGGCCTTCATTATGAAGTCTGCTCTTTTCAAAATTTTATTTCTTTCAATCTGAAATGTGTTCTAATCAAAAGAAGGCTTTAACTATCGACGAAAGTTAAAATATCATGTTTACGGGGAACAAGGTTATTAAGAACATGTACAAATTTAACGATCATTGTACAGTTTTCAACGATGATTTATTTATGTAGATTTGGCCGCTAAATACCTGATGCGTTTAAGAGTTACAATGTAATAATACGTCAGATATTTTAACGCTTATGTGTTCTTCTTAATATGCAGTAATAACGTGTTGTTCACGTGGTTTCAGAAGTTTGTTGTGTTGAAAATAGTAATCATCTATCTGTAGTTTTTGGGTACTAAAATTGTTATAAACTTCACTTCCTTATATCTGACAAAAAAGTAACAAGTTAAATATAAGTTCATTTGTTCACTATTTCCTTGTACTTCGCTTCATCGCTCTTCAACCCAGTTCGCCTATTTCTTCGTACTTAAAAAAGGTTGACCTTTTATACTGGCTGTTCTACTGAATATCATTCCATAAGTAGTATTACTCTTGACATTTAAGTTGTTTTCTTCCTTTCTCTACTTTCAGAATTAGTTTCCTTTACATCAGTATTTTTTCCACCTGGATTTCTAGGACATTTGTTGTTGTTGGTTACTGTTGCTCCAGTTCGTATTACTTTTTTTTCAATTGAGTTTCATTTTCCATTGATTTTTCTATCTCCTGGAAGTGTTTTAAAAAAATTCAAGTTTTAATTTGCTATATAGCCTTTCTGTTTCGAGGGGTAGGAAGAGACTGTGTTCTGAACATTCCTGGATTAGTCCTAAATACGTAGCGTAATTTATTAGTCTCTGTCTTACTTTCACTTGGTGTATTACTAACTATTTTACAACATTAAAAAACGTTTATTGTACAAAAATAAAAAATATGTTTATGATATTTAATGACATCATCGAACGTACTTTTTAATTTTATGTATATTCGTATATGTTGTATCAGACTTAGAGATTTCTAATATGTGAATCGCGTGCTGAAACCTTGGAAGTTTGTATTTTTGGTCAAACATGTCAAAATACTAGCCTGAAAATGTATACTAGTTAAACTACCGTCCATTTTTATCAAGATCCGCGTGCACAAAGTCCTCCGTGAATCTCATATATCCACAACCTATGTTATACAGTATAACAAATGTTTTATACGTATTTAATGTTTTAATAATATAGTAGGATAAAATTTTGTAAATATTAAACTTATTTTTGTACATATGTTTTCCTGTTTTTATTTTCAATAAAATGTTATGCATATGAAATTCTGCAAGTTTTGGTTGTTGTTTTCATTATTATAACTGATTTAATAAAGTTAATAAATCAATGCAGAAGAATAACAATACCAATGGCATGCACGTAAAGTACAAACATGGAGTTTAAGAGCAAATAAAGGAGTGCTAGAGAAAAATATCGCTCTTACAAGTTTCAACGTTTATATAGAAAAAACATATACGTTAATATTTTACAGGAAATAAGTAAAAAATTACTCTAAAAAATAATAAAAAAATTAAATAATATCGCTCTTACAAGTTTCAACGTTTATAAAAAAACACATATACGTTAATATTTTACAGGAAATAAGTAAAAAATTGATGTATGTATGCTTTTTAACCCTAGAACTATTAATGGAGTCCATAATCACATCGGCTTTATAAAGCCGTATTGTTTAGTTATTCATATAACAACGTACTTGTTGGTCCATGACTTTTCTTGGCTACATGTCACAAGATATTTAGTTGAACTTCAGATTAAAGTTTATTATTAGCAAACTTATGTTACAATTATAAGTTAAAAACTATAATTTGAAGACTTTGTTAATCACAGATTGTTTGTTTGTTTTAAATCGCTATCTGTGCGCACAGCCGGTATCAAAATCCGTTTTTTTTGCATCATAAACCTTCAAGCCGGCTGGTATCCACAAGACCCCTTTTTTAACGTCATAAGTCTTCAAGCCGGCCGTTACCAACAAGATCCATTTTTATTTTAAAGTCATAACCCTTCAAACTTACCTCAGAGCCATCGGGGGGAATTTTAATCTCAGATTTATACGTTTCATTCTAATCAGTATATTTTTCCATCTACAATTTGGGTTTAAAATGTTGTAAGTAGTTACAAAATAGCTGGATTCGCATAAATATTTAAAGAAAACGTTACAAATCTCCAAAGCATGTTATTCAACTCTTACGCCCATGACAACTGTTCTGTATTACAGAAATTCAAACAAATTTATGTCATTGATATTATCCAATATTCACTAAAATAGTGAGACCAAGATAATATATACATAGTTAGTTTTTGTTGTTGCTGTTGGTTGTTAACGCAAGCGAGCTCAAAACTTGTAACCAATAAAATTTCGCGGTAAAGTTTTAGCACTCGCGTCCAATTGCCACAGAAACGCGCTCAGTACTTCGGGATCGTGAATGTGTTATAACAGTGACGGTGAAATCCTACTATTCGATTAAAGTAGCTCAAAAGTTGACGCGGGATGTGCAATATGCTACTTTAATAAACACAACATTTTTATTACTTTATCGAGATCAAAGCTTGGAGTTTAATCTCGATATTGTTGTTGCTATGGCAATTCGACAGGGTAAGAGCACTTCTTAAATGATGAGCTAAGTATCACACAGACAGAAAAGTTCGTGTTTCAATATCACATCTTTGAGTATAGAACTTTTAAGATTTACGAGAAAAGGCTTTTTTCAAGAGACTTTGACACGTGAATTAAATTACACTGTTTATTTTGTTTGTTTTCAGGAATTCGGGAAAACTAGGCTATCTATTCCTAATTTTGAAATGACAGTCTAAGGTGAAGACAGCTAGTTGAAAGCACCCACCGCCACCTCTTCTTCTACTCTTATCTGACCAAATAGGCGAACTTACAATGTTTCATAGTGACATCAATTGAAGAAGTAATTTTTATTTCCAAATAAGAAACTTTTTAACTGTGCAGTATTAGGTATTTTCAACTTGAAAGGCACTCTAGGTGACATATGAGTTAAACTGCCAACACAGAGACCCTAAGTTACAGGCTTACCTTTCCTTAATATGAAACTACTGACGAGAGAGAAAACAATCAGTCGGCAATACCCACCGCCTACACGGCTACTCTTAAACCAATAGCGAGATTGTTTCGGTTATAAAAGCTGATAGTTTGGAACATGATAAGAAGCATATCGTGGCTCGAACCTTGTCCTTTTTTATATGAAGCCCGGCAATTAATCAATAGGCCAAGTCTGGCTTCAATATATCAGTAATCATTTTGTGCAATATACAGTGTCTAGAAATCATGTTAACTAATCTTTTAATATAAACAAAAGGTTATTAAGATAATTTTCGGACACTTTGAGCACATCATTGCTTCTCTATTTGTCAACATGAAAGAGAGACTGAAAATTAACTTTATAAATTTGATATCTCTATTTAAACTGTAGCCCTTCAATTTGCGATATGTAGCCCAGTAGTGTTTATATATTTACGATATGTAGCCCAGTAGTGATTATATATTTACGATATGTAGCCCAGTAGTGCTTATATATTTACGATATGTAGCCCAATAGTGTTTATATATTTACGATATGTAGCCCAGTAGTGTTTATATATTTACGATATGTAGCCCAATAGTGTTTATATATTTACGATATGTAGCCCAGTAGTGTTTATATATTTAAGATATGTAGCCCAGTAGTGTTTATATATTTACGATATGT